TAAAGTACTCCAATCACACGCTTACTCCATAACAAGCATTTCAGAACTGTTGGTTCTAAAGAATTTCAGGTATACACTCTTGGAAACACTATCAGAAGACAGAGTAACACCCTGAACAACACACACTCAACCGACAGCCAATAGTACTTAAGTTAAGAGTTTGGTTTTGTTTGGAAAGAGTAAGTTTTAAAACAAAAGACAGTTTTCCCATACGCAGAGCCATGGCCCTCACCAAACTTGCTTAAAACTCCTGTACAAGAAATTCCTGACCTCAAGGAAAAAAGTCCTTCAGCATCACGCAAACAACAAAACAGATAGCTGTAGAGAAGCCTAGGTAAGACTAGGAAATGCTCTGGTGCGTATGAAGTAACTTACTATTAATTTCATCTGTTGTAACTGGCAAATCTGACTTGGCTTTACAATCCAAAAGTTCTTCAGAGCTGCTAGGGGCCCCATTACTGCTTCTGCCCTGCAGGTGAATGTCTTGCTGGACAGAAGAGGAGTCCATGGTAAAAATCAATCCAGATCCCTGGGAAGTTTTTCTTCTGAATAATTTGCCGCCAAGTGAACTACCAAGTCCTGTTTCTCTCCATCAGCAGCAACAGCATGAAGATGTTACACAGGGGCACAGTTCTGAGCTTTACAGCTGTCGGTGTGCAGCAGGCAGCCGATAATTCCAGGAGATCATGAAAACAGCTCGCAGCCAAAGTTGTAATCACCAAGGAGCTGCATCCTCTAGAAACAAAACGTAGTACATTTACAAACATTTCTTAGAGCTTTGAAGATATGAGTTAAAATGAAAGTAGTGCTCACAGACTACCCACCAGCCCAACTTCAACACACAGAACCAGGGCATGGACTAGTAACAGAGACAATGAAATACAACCAAGGATCCAAGCTTTTGTGAATAAGAAGTGATCTGTTTAACAGCTTTTTTATTATCACCTTTTTTTCAGTAGCATTGATACACCAGCGTAATGATGCAACAAGATAACATTCAGTGAGACAAGATTTAAGATCACTGTCCCTTTTAATGGAAATGCCTCTTCGGCCTCTGCTTTAATAAGCGAGGCAGTATTCAGAGTAGCATTTTGCTCTGTAAATTACAGTCTGGACTTCCATACCATATATTTCATTTCAAGGACCTACTCCCATTTAAGTTTCAATATCTGCAGTTAGAATGCGGTATGGAATTCAGATTGAATTTTTTAAAATTATATTACATCATTACTGTTTACCTGTCTGCAGAGCAACGAGGACGTATCACTGCACAGAGCCTGAACTACTAATTACAGCACGCGTTGGCAGTCAGAGCACAGCCTGGGCTGCAGTTCAACGCTGCCTTCTCCTATGGCGAGTCAAGAGGAGGATTTCCAAACACAGTTTACAGAATTTGCAAATGATTCTCCAGGCTTTTAGATCTTACCTTTGGGTATAGACCCAGCCAACTAATACAATCTGGACATAGTCACTTCAGGTATTTAAATTTTGTTCAAATAGTTACCGACAGCTGAATTCAGATTACAAAATGTCATGGTTCCTATTTACTGAAAAAAAAATAAGAAATCCCCAGTTTTAAAAAAGGGGGGGTTGTGGGGAAAATGTCAAGTCAGGAATATTTTAATTGCCTTTTTACACGAACACAAACATTTTGAGCAACATTCCTTCCATATCTCCAGAGAGTACTTGTGTAACTGCTACTGCACCAAGCTGCCCTGCTCAGCCAGCAACGCCACCAGTCATCTCCAAACGCTCCTGAAGCTGCTAACAGCTCAGGATACACGGGACTGGGCGATTACGCAGGTGACCCTTACGTGGGTGAGCCGTGAAGGAGCCAAAAACCCGGAGCACATTTCTAAAAGAGAAACCTCCAGCAAACAGAAAGATTAATACCTTCACTGTGATTTGTTATCGATTTTAAAAGCTCCTCTGTATAACAAAGCTGACAATAAAGCTTCTGGAAGAAGAGCTGTTGTATGGCAGACAGATACTACATGACAGGTCAGAAAGAGGAATTACAGACAAAAGGCAAGCGCAGCTTAGACCGCTTACACCTTGGCAAAACCCAGCCAGCATTAGATGGTTTGCTATCCTTCTCATAAAACATCATTTAACAAACAGGGTCACAAAGACCGGCTTTGTCCTGTACAACCCATTCCCAAATATTAAAGGTTGAAGCATTTTAGCTTCGAAGTCCTTTTGTACCCGTGTTGAGCAGAGCAGACACACAGACACACACACACACAGATGTATGTACGCACGCCACGGGAATCCAGCAGTAACCTCACAGGGAAAGGAGCTGTACGAAAACAACCGGTTTTGTTTAAAACACCGATAACCAGGAGGGCAAGGGAGCCCTGTCCCAGCCCGGGGGCGCCGCTCGGCGAGGCACGCCCGAGGGGTCCCTGGGCAAGGGCCGGGGCACCGCGGTGGGGCGCCGGCAGAGGCCCCCGCAGAGGCCCCCG